CTGTGTCATAGGAATGACATAGCCCCAAGACGGCAGATATTTTACCTGTGTCATAGAAATGACATAGCCCCAAGACGGCAGATATTTTACCTGTGTCATAGGAATGACATAGCCCTAAGACGGCAGATATTTTACCTGTGTCATAGGAATGACATAGCCCTAAGACGGCAGATATTTTACCTGTGTCATAGGAATAACATAGCCCTAAGACGGCAGATATTTTACCTGTGTCATAGGAATGACATAGCCCTAAGACGGCAGATATTTTACCTGTGTCATAGGAATGTTTTTTTCGTCGCTTGTGCGCTGGAGGATGTGCAGCCAAAGTTGAACGTGCCCCTTGAATATTGTCGCCCGTGAAGTTAATCTGTAACGTTATAACATTATAGTCGGCTGCACAGAATTTGAAGGACAGGTCGGCGATGTGAAGACTTTGAAAGTGTGTCATGGCGAAAAAGTCCTCCGCCATAACTCTATGCATATACAGTTGAAACAGAGCATACTTTGCTTTGACATTGCGTCATACCATTGACACAGTTTTGGAATGGAAAGCTCTCCGTCATATATCGATATCTTAGTGAATATACAGTCAAAACAGTGTATACCTTGATATTTTGTCAAACCATTGACACAATTTTCCGGCATAAAACTTTTTCTTCATAAGTGCATAACTATATAATATAAACATTGTATAGTGGTACTTTGGCAGTGTGTCATAGTATTGACACGGTTTTCGGGTGGAAACGTTTTCCGTCATCAGTGGGTGAATATACAGTCTAAACTAGAAAGGCCGACATTTGCTTCGGAGCAAATGTAGACAATGTAGGAATTTCACTCCATACCCTTCCCCAAACAAAAATGAGAGATTCTAAATAAATCATACTGCAATTATACAAGGACAAGCTGTTTGAATCTCGACAGGTATTTACAAAACTGGCACTTGGCAATTATCTCAACGCATACATTGATAATTTATAACATCGTTCTTCTTCGCTGATAGCCTTCTACACTGAGGGTTTCTCAAGGTATTCTCTCTCTCAAGGTATTGTGCATCGAATCGTAATATTAAAGCAAGAATTCTTTATTTTCCCAGAGCACGTCTTTGTTACATACAATAACTTAGACATTTTAGATGAAGCAACACTAATCAAAACAATTATAACATATTCTAATAATAGGGGCCTCGTTACCGGTAAGAATATATAGAAAATACTTCACCCACAACATCTTAAGAACAGTAATCCAAAGCCTAATGTTCAGTGTCACATCTTAACTATTGTTCACCCTTGTCCTGCTGGCATTCCTGGCACAATATTTTTCAATATTTTCATGTCTTAATTAGATAAAAAAAAAACAATTTTTTTTTGCCCTGCAGTGGCATAGTTACTTCCGCATTCGTTGCGTTTCGCAGCGGTGTAATCCGTTGCACGAGAAGTAGCCCCAAATCGTACCTATGCAGGGTGTTATATAGATGGTACTGAATGTGCCGCGCAACATATGTTGCGCACAGCAGGACAAGGGTTAAGAACAGTAATCCAAAGCCTACCACTATCCCTTTTTTTTTACAAAGATACAACGACACGCACTTTAAATCTCGACAGCTTTACTTTACACTTTTGACGAGATTGTAACTACTACTAACGGGAGCAAAATTTTCACGCCCTGAGAAAAATGGACATGTTCACGGAACTATATATTCACG